ACAAACAAACACAGATAAACAACTTTATTATTGGTTTCAGATACATAGATGCTGAATAGTAAATTTACATTTTTTGTAAAACAAATAATTAAATTTATTCAACAATAACAAACAGCTTTAACGCAATCTATACTTGTATATTATTAGATATTTTTGATAATGTTTTACCTTTTTCCTTTTCACATACAATAAAGCCCGAAATTTTTAATAAATTTCAACCTTTTAATGTTACTTAGCTTTTAAAGTTTTTATAGCATTTCATTTAGTTTAATTATTCTTTTTCCTTTTTTTTATGTTCTCTTCTTGACCTTTCTAAATGACTCGTAAGTGATAGTTAGTTATATGGTTTTCGACGCAGACACAGTAAATCGAAACATAACTGTCGTGGACACACCTTTTTTAATTATTTGGCAAAATTTATTTGCGGTTTTTCAGGTGTGCACAATTGTATAATGGGAAGAGATAGTTAAACATCTATATGACTATTATTTATAATTACACACAAGTGCAGATATATTTACATGCAAGTCTATAAAACATTCGGTTTTACTTCCACATTCTGTCAGACCAAATATTCACGCCATCAATGTTTTCTCTTTAAATTTAGTTTCACATCATATCATAAAAAATCCACTAATTTCATTATTGTTTATGATAGACCTCCCGCTTCATAATGCTAATAGCTAATGTAAACGAAACTAGATGTATAGAATAGCGTGTTAACTGAACACGACGGTACTAATTATCATACCATTACTAGTTTAGATTTAAAATAAAATCACTTAAATATGCAAAACAAAAGTTTTTAATGCTAAAAATAAAAATAACTATTAAAACAAAATCTATTTATCTATTTATTAATTATTACTAATATTATACGTTGATAAGCTAACTTATGCCTATAATAATTTTCCTTCGATATCGTAGAAAAAATTTTGATCATATTTAATTAAGTCAATGCTGAACAGCTTGTTCATCAAACTAGTTATCTTTTTATTCAACGGAGTGAATCATCTGTTGTTGATTTGCTAACTTGCAAGGAAAAAAGAAGAGGATATGATCATTTAATTTTATTTTTTTTGGTTTTTTTAAGGGTAATGGTTGATCTTGTAAAAAAAGACCTTAAATACGTTTCTTGCTCGTAATCTTTTTTTTAAATTGGAAAAACAAAAGAGCTTACATAAATTTCTCGCTCGCAGTCTTTCTCTTACAATTTAAAATTCACAGAGTCCACATTGTAAGCGGTGTAATTTATAAGTAGCATAATTTTATCGCTAAAATTTTGTTTACTCATCAACATTAATAATAAATGAGTCTGGCAATGCTTTAAATTCTCTCCCTATATTTAATATTTTTTGTTCATGAAATATTAGCTGTGTTATGAAAAGAAATTAGTTTTTTGCAAGTTAGAAGGAACACATAAAATGACTAAAATTATTAATTTGCGTAAGATACTTTATGGTTTTTAAAGAAATACTCTGAGTGGTTTGTTGTTGCAATAATGAAATCTGTAAATGGTTTGGTTTTTGCGTATTTTATCGGTGAGTTGTGGGGGTTGAGTTTCCGCGATGATTTATTTAATTGAAAAGCAATGCTTAGAGAAGAACCGGTGACTATGACTAGTTTCTCTAACATGATAGATAGATGATCCATAGATCGCATTTTATTATAAATGATTTGTTGAAGCAGTCACAATATGGTTCTTTTCTTCTTATCAAAGCGTACTGTCACAATATAATTGTGTGCCATATTATAAGCAGCAATCTGAAATATACGTTGCAGGCTTTCCCAAATGTTTTAAAATACGATAAAAACTTATATTATTAGGAAATCACCGAATCTAAAACCGGTAAGCTTAAATATGTCGGAATTGAGAGGGTCTATTAAATTAATTAAATTGCTCGAACTGTTGAAGGAATAGAGTTGTTTAGAATATCCAAATATCTAATAAGTGTAATGATAACTTCCTAAGGAGTCTCGTTGCTCTATATATATCGCAAAGAGGGATCTATTGGTATTGGTATTACTGTATGATTAACGTAGGCATGACTAGCTCTCTAAGGCACAGATAGCAGAGCACATAAATTGAAATCATGAAATTATAGTCACAAACAACCTCTGATTCGGTATTGATTTAAACCTATTAGATGATGCAATCTCTGTACTTAATAAAATAATGAATATGGTTGGAAACAATTGCAGGTACAGGCAAAGATTGTGAATGTCAAGTGAGAATGTTAAATGAATTTGATAATATCCGGTACAAGAAATTTTAAGATCGACTCGCATGTGCATTGGAAATGTGTGCGGCACAATACGAACTTTAAAACATGTGTCTTGTAAATACAATGGATTCAACAACGCTCTGCGACGGTTATCAAAAAATTTTATAGTTTTCCTATATCATTTGTCTTTCGGTGCGACATGGAATCGGCATTATACTTACAAGCTTCTGAATCTGTAGTGTAATAAACGCCATACTGCCGCAGATGTTTTGTCAACTTTATTCAAAACTCTTGCAGTCTTACAAAGATTTTTTTAAGTGTAGTTAATCTAAAGACTAGAAAAAAGATGTGTTAATACCTTTAGGTTAATTAAAATATTTGGGCGCATAAAGGTATCGATATATTATTCATCGATAGTTCATACTTGTTGCGTAAGTGTTTGAAACTTGATATTCAAATTCATTTGAACCTAGATGGGAGGCATATAAGAGTCAATTCAATTGATTAGATTTTGTTATATTTTTAAATAATTTTTTTTCGGTTTACTTTTTATATATTTTGTTAAAGAACCCGTTTCCACTATAAATTGCGCTTTTCGTGAAAAAATGCTACGCGTTAACACATCCAATTTCGTTCCAAAATATATTAGCGGCCGTTGGGTTTGGAATGAAGAGAAAGAAAAATTTTTATTTGACTGTCGAAAGGATGCTTCAAAAGAGGCAAAAAAAGACGAATTCATGATGACGAATGGTTTTAATTTTTCTACAACTCTCAATCAAGTACACGAGCTCATTTACCGCCAGGAATTCCAAAGACCCCTTATATCCTACGACTATGATTTTATTACAACACAAGACGTCCAAAATTTGGTTGCATTTTTGGCACCGTCAACATTATTGAGTAAAAGTTTGGTTGAGTTTATTAACACCGAAACAGTTGCGTCTTTCCTAAAGGCTCTGATAATTTATTTTCAATATTTCTTGCAAGTAGTAGAGTTTATATTAATTCAACGGGATGAGATAACCGGAGAAAAGGCTATATTATTAAATGCTGAGAATCCTGATATGCAACGCGCATTTTCAGCTCACTTGCAACAATATCGCTTGCTAGTGGCTCGAGAATATAGTCATATTATTTTGGGAGAAGGCGACACAAAAAAATTTTATCACATTAAACCCATCGTGAATATATCAAGATCAAGTTTTGATGATTCATTTCATGAAGCGTTTTTGGCTTATTGTACTCAGGTTGTTTGGATTACGTTGCATCGACGTGCCTACGACGTTATTGACATGGAAATGAACCGTTTGTTCCGTTCGGAACATTTCAAATTGACAAAATATCCAAGATATCAATTCACCAAACCGGAGGCCCAAACGTTATATGGTCCAAATTACAAACTATGTAATTATCGAACTCAAAATTCGCCATTAATTCAGGAACTAACCAAAGTGGATAAACGTAATTTACCAATTTTATACATAGGAAAACAAAAGTATCGTGGCAATGATCTTCGAATAATGCAAATTGAATTGGAATATATTGTGGATTCGGCGCAATTGTCTCTAATTGGATTTAATTTGGGTATATTAGGACATCCGAAAAGGCTCTACAATACACTTTTAAGACTTGACTGGGAGGCAGTGCGGAAGAATAATTTTTCGGCAACCTATGATCCCTTCGGCATCTTTAGGCAACCTCATTTGGAGATACCTTCTTTAGACGAAGAGAAACTAAGACAGTACAGTGAAACCTATGATTCCCTTTATGAGGTGAAAAGAAGAAATGAAGTTTGGAGCCCCTCTATGATTAGAAAGTGGAAGAAGCGCGATAAAATTGTGAAATATTTTGAGGCGGAAGGTGTCATCTCAGACGTTTGGGTAAAGTGCATCAAGGAAGTTGCTGATACTTCTGATGGGCCATCAGTTGAAGGAATTGTAAAGAAATTTCTCGATGAAAAAGCAAAACTTCGAAAGGGGAAACAAAGAAATCGAATAGCATGAAATGAATGAAGGTCGCGGTAAAGTAATTAATAAATTTTATGACATGAAGTCGCTTGTTGTTTTTTTATGATCATCCTTACTTCGCTTTGCCCGTTATGCTGTCGTTGATTGGGAGTGTTTTTATGTTGCATGAAGGTTAAGTGCGAGACATAACTTGTGCGGTGCTTATATGACAACCGCTATAATTCGTGTACCTGTCTGTTAAATAATTTGTTGGGTAGATTAAAGTCGTGCTTGCCTTTCCTGATGATCTTGGCCGCCTACTCTACTGTTTTTGTCGTAGTTGTTGTATATGTTGATCACCGGGTGCCGCTTGTATTTCTGGCGCTCACAATTGGTTGGTAATTTATAAGATTGTCTTGTATTGCAGCGGAGAAAACCTTGCGGCTGCGGAGGTACGAGTTCTAGTCGTGGGATTAATTTTGCATTATGATTAGGTAGCGATATGATTATAACGTTAACCAACGTCGTTTCATGCCAATGCATACGCAATCTCTTTCGAAGTTTAAGCAATTTAGTTTCCTTTAGCTTTGAATACGTCAGGTTATATACAAAAGAAACGCCATTTACCGAAAATTTTCTTGTTGATTAAATTGTTGATGAACGATGAGTGATGAAAAAGGGGGCCGCACAGGAGATCATAATGTATGATAGAGAAATGATTAATAGCAATTTTAAAGACAAATATCTATTAGATAGGTAGGTTGGCTTATTATCAATTCCTTCATCTCAACCAAATCAAGTAATCAGTGGCTACCAACAACAGTTAATGTGACTAGGGAGACCATTAAAAGGAAGGGAAGGTCGAAGAGACACGATTGAGTTGTGGACCAAATGAACTGTTATTCCTTTGAACAACATGAAAGTTATGCGCACCCAGAAAAATGGAGAAAATAGATAGGTAGAATTTTAAGTTGAAAATATTAAACCACTTTTTTGAAATAAAACACCATTTTTAATTTGAAAAAATTATGGATGATGTCCTGGAAAAGTTGGATCTTCAAAGATACATTGGAAGAAAAGTTAAAGAGAAAATTGCAGAAGGAAATTTACAATACCATCATCAACACTACTCTTGCATTAACCCTCAATTAACTCCACCTCTATATCCAACAAATGTTGAGAAAACCAAGATCCAAACATCATCGAGAATTCGCCTTGGTCATACAATTGCAACTCACCAATGGATCCTGAAGAAGTCTTCTCCCCCAATCTGCTGTTGTGGACAAACTCTTACTATAAAGCACATTCTCTGCGACTGCCTCAACTTTTCCTTGACTAGAAGTATTGCATTTGGAACGATTAACCCTTTGAACATTCTACAATCAGCTTCAGAACAGAATATCAATTCAATATTTTACTTTATTAATACTACTAAGCTTATTATCTAATATCCATTTATTTAAATTAGAGCCGATAGCCTGTGTTGCTAGTGCTCAGTGTCATTTTTTTAGTCTAAGAATTCAATTCATTAGTCTAAAATTAAAATAATAATAATAATAATTTGAAAAAAGTAAAACAAGATCAGAGTTCTAGTAAGATACTATAAAAATACTAAAATAGATAGAAAACAGGTAAGAACATTGCAGTTGGGCAAAGACGATCCTTAAATAGAAAAGTTATTTACTCGTTTAGCACACTTTTCATAGAAGTCCGCATATTGAACGATGCCCAGAATTTTATTTACTTTCTAAAAATTTGATTATGTTTCAGTTTCCATCATAAAAAACTGGAAATTGGGCTTTCTCTTCATACAATGGCTTGCTTTTCATGACAATGCCTATAAAATCGACCAATGTAGTTCAAATTCCGTATAGTTAATATTTTTGTTGAATTACTATTAAGAACCAATTTTCATCATAAAGTATTAAAAATTAAACCTTTTTTTTGAAGGGCTTACAATAGTCGGAAGCTATCTTATATGGAGTGGGGTCCAAGGAATGTGGTTTAAAATTGGTTCATTTAATGTCTACTTTATGTTGAATTTAATGAACAAATTTTCATCACAACTCCTAACAATTGCACCTTTACAAGGCTTCCATGGTCCGAATTCGGTAAGGTTAATTTCTTCGTTAATTTGTTTATTACGAAACAATTTTCACCATGCATTATACTTTTTTATTAAATAAACTTTCGATTTTCGTAACAACGGTTATATGAGTGGGATTCAAGAAAATGGCCAAGCCAAATCAAAACTTTCATATCAATTTAGAATGTCCGAATACTGAGCAAGTTTTTTCGAAAAATTTTGAAAATTGGAATTTTTTCCATATAATGGCATTCCAAGTAAGGCGTTAAATAGGAAATTGGCGATCCGGGCAGGTTTGAATGACGTTCGTCCTTGGGTCAAGACACGTCGCTCTACCAAGTTTTATCAAAGCATCTCAAAAATTGCGACCTGTAGCGTGACGACAAAAATACATGAGCAAGCATATAATAAAAGATGGGTCTGTCTTCAGTCCTTCTGAGTGTTACAATGTCCGCACAAACTTAATATGCCTTGTACCACAAATGGTGTGGGATATAAAAATTTATATGCATGAGTAGCCGAGCAGCCAAACGATCGCGACTAACAGGTTTTAATAAGCGTATGATCTAAGTTATCCGGCAGCCTTCAAATTTACTTACAAAATCTATAGACGGTAAACAAACAAATAGAAGCAATGGTGTAAATAAAAAAAGCCCATTTACATGCGGCCTTTTGACTTGTCACCCAAGGGCACTCTGATAGCGAGAACGGATTATGTGGGGAGAAGAGACAACTGGAGAAAAGTTTCATTTAAGCAACTTATTAGGCCGAAGAAGGCAACGAAGAAAAGTATTAGTCGGATTACGTACCTTTGTTATCGATCTTTGACCGTAACGTAATAATACAATTTTAGAAAAGCCGATTTTTTTGCAATTTCTATGGGCGCAGCTAGCCACTTTGACTTCGATTGTACCACAAACACTGAATAGAGGGATATCATCAGCATCCTTTTTCGGAAGAGGAGATTTGTAAATTGGGAACAAAGTCTGCTACAACTTTAAGCTTTTTTTAGATGAAAGCACAAACAACAAAACCACTATCATCTCCGTCTGTCAATCCAACCGACGTGGAGAAGTACGAGAAAATTAAATTGGAGCGTAAAAAACAAAACGAAATCGTGTGGCCGCGTCAAAATGTCGCAAACGTTAACTTGAGCGCATTTCAAAATTAAAAAAAAGTTAAATTACGTAAAGGAAAATACGAAAATGCTGACAAATTCGTATTTGCAATAGGGTTTGGACAGCAAAGTCGGAATGGTTTGATAGGGTAAATAACTGTTAATATTAATTTTTAAGAGAAGAGTAATTTGTTAAATTTTTGGATGCTATTTACTGGTCCAGACAAATATTCGGTATTTTACTTGGCATAATCTGGGAAAGTCGGTGAACTTGGTTATTATGCGAAATTGGCTAATATGCACTATTTATAATTAGCTAATGCGTAATGTAATTTAGAAATTAAACAAAAAATCTTTTTTTTTTAACGTCATTGATTTGGCTCGTATTTATAAAGTATATATTTATCAAATTAATTAACATTTATGTTTTACATAATTCCTTTTTACTTGCATTATTTGCATTTGATCCCTTTTGCTTAGAATCACTCTATTAGAAGATCATCTTCGGTGTGTTCGTTCGCAGCACTTTCACTCCGGAAGCTTCATTATGCAATTTGTGTGATTTGTATCGGCCTAAACCTCCGTTGACCTTCAATAATGTTATTGAAATTCTTTTACAAACAATATCCAACTTGACACAATCTTCAATCAATCAATCAGTTTTATCAATCCAAAAATCAATAATTCATCCCTGCACAGCCAAAGTCGGATATCAAGGATACCAATCGTCTGGACTAAACCCCAGAATGGATAGAACTGAGTGGACTATTGCAACTTAAATAACTACTACAAGAGAGGTCAAACATCAAAAATCAATAATAAATCACCACGAGATCTGCATCATCAAATTTCTCTGATTTCATCATTTACAGGCATTCATTCCTCTCTTATATACAAAAAAAGCCACAAAAAACCTCAATACTTAAACAAAACATAAACTTTTTAGCTGCCAACAAAAACTATTTGTTCTTGTGTCTGCGAAGACGAGGACCTACGCATTTTGTTGCTGTCAATAGCACGTGTTGCAAACAAAAAACATCCAAAATAAAATTTCGTCCCAATTGAAAACCAAAGTTTGGCAGTAATATTACACTTATGTATGAGACGTATCGGTTTTCATCGATTGGTCGTTTATCATCGAAGGATTTGCAAAACCCCTAGCACAAACATTGAAAATAATAAAGAAACGGGGCATGCAGAGAGGGAAAATTAGTGCTGTTCTTAAAATAGAAGAAGAAGCGATTTGCGAGCGATCTAACTAAAAGTAAGAAAAACAACTAAAACACTGAATCACCGAACAACTAGTGAGCCAATTGATCGGAAGTGCTTTAAGGAAATATCTCAGCAATTTCATTACCAATATCGGGCGGCCAAACTAAGGTCAGCTTGCACTATACAACCGCCGCTACTAACACACAAGTCAAATTTTAAGTTTCGATGGGTGCTACAAAGGAAAGGAGGGACACACCCGTCGTTTCTGTGGTCGCGTAGCTTTTCGAATGGAATGAGCGGCTCATAAAGAAAGTAAACAGTGATAATTTCACATCTGAAGATAACTCGCAGAAAGAGCAATTTTAACGAATTAAGCTTTGCAAGGTTTCGAGACGGCAGATCCTGACTCATTCAAAATACTGGTGGTATGGTATAATTTTGAAAGAGTTGTGGGAATTGTTGATGCATTTTGCCAGAATTGTTGGCCTATCTATGCTGTATAATGACGGAGTGGAAATAACTAGTTGGGCGAAAGTCTTGCTTATAGACAAGGGGAGGGACGCCAACAAATATAATAATGAGCCTGGGAACACAACGGACGAAATGGTTGTCATTAAGCTTTACAACGGAAACTAGAAGCCAATCATTGAAAGAAGGAGAATCTTCTACGAGCAAATAATCAGAGATGAACAAGAGCGCAGGAACTGCATTGCGTTCGAAACAGTCGGACACAAGAAAGGCAGCCCTCAAAATGCATGTGAACGTTGCGTACTAAGTCATTCGGTAAACTTCGTGCCCCCAAAAATACCCAAATTAAACATCGAGCTATAATCCTAAAGCGACGGCACTTTCAAAATTTTTTCTCTCTCTTCGCCTATAGAATTGCATTTATCTGAAGTTTTGTTACTGTAATTTAATCAAACATATATCCTATGCGAATAAAGAGGGCGAGAGAGAGAGAGAGAGAGAGAGAGAGAGAGAGAATAAAGAGACGTGGAAAATTATGGTATTAGATGAGATGTTGTTTATGTGAAATTGTTACAGATATCATCTTTTCACACATATTGTTACAAAATACATGAAATGCGGTATGACATGTAACATGTAGATATAGTTGTGCATGTACGCACATTTATATGCCGAAACGCAAACATGGTCCAAGGTAATCATAATGGATGAGTTATATAATATTTTGTCAAAAAAAAAGAAAAGAAAAGATAATAAAAGAAAAAGAAACGGATATGATGCCATAGAATGGCCAATAAAAGTCAGTGAAGAGTTGAATAAATACAATAAGCGGACGTTAAGGAAAATATATAAAAACACTTGTTAAGAAAAATTGAAAAGATTATAACAATATTAAAATAAATATTAAAAAAAATATATGTTTGTAAACAAACATAAAAGTAAAGTTTAGTAACAGATAAAAAGTCTGAAATAAAAAAGCTAGAGTTTAGAAAAAAGAGAAAAGTCTGAGATCCCTTAAAACTTAGTCAATTGAATTAGTTTTCGTCTTTCTTTTTTTGTAGATCTTATTCCTTAACAATATAGAAACAAACTTTGCGTAGACACGTGATGAATTGGCGGTGGAAACAGTGCTGGTCAGAATGTAAGCAATGTAAGTAATGTATGTCAAGCGAATGCCAGAACTCATCCCATAGTGACATTTTCTTAATAGATTTGAAGTACTTTAGTACCAGATGTGTTCCAAAGAAAGGTGACTTTTTATTTTTGTTGAAAAATATTCATTTATTCATTAATATATTGTTTGCGCTTTTCCCAGTCCTCCAAGTATTTTCAATACGCCCTTTTTGGTATGGCCTTGCGCTCTCCCGGCGAGCTAATTTCTAGTCGTAGCAAACCTCCACCCTTTCATGGGTCTTGGGAATAGGAAAAAGTCACAGAGGCCAAAGTCCGACATATACGGTGACTTGGGCACGATTGCGGTCTTGTTTTTGGCCAAAAAATTACGAGCAAGCAAGGACTTGTGAGCATTCGCATTATCGTGGCGCAATATCCATGAATTGAGGTTTGTAGAAAAGTATATTGCATTTTCAAGTGCTTTTGTCACATCGCTTTACGCAAAGTACCTTACTGGCGACCTTCTGACACTTTGGCTTTCAATTTTTGAGACTTTTTGATCACATTTGGCACATTGACGCTTTTTGAAAATTGCTTGGATCCGACAACATTTTCGACCGCACTCCATATAACACCTTATTTTAATAAGTAGCTAGAAAAAAATATTGTAATTTTCTGTATGTTTGTGTTAGCTGAATATCAACCGTAAATAAATAAACAAATAAAGATGTAAAATAAATAAGTAAATAATTGATTTCGTCACAAAATCGCTTCGTAATAGTTATTCGCCATTTTAAATTGCTGCGAAAACTTTGTGAGAAGCGGTCCCACGGACACTGAATTAACCTTGTCGAATTTTAAGAGCGCATATTTGTTTTTTAGATCCCAATCCATATAAGGATTCTAATGAAAAATAGGCCTTTATGTGCAGAAGTGTCCTAATTTTTAATATTTTAATGGGGAAACTTTATCCTGGGTAACTCAACCATAGGGATTTAGTCTATTCTAGTATAATCTATTTATTAGATTGTACCATATCGTATATGAGGGACTCTCATGAAAACAAAACTTTCTACGGCGGCAAATTCTAATCTGTGGTTGATATGACGGAAGCAACTGGAAAATAATAAAATCTTCGAAAAAATTAATTAACTTTGGTGAAGTTGGCCAAAGTAATTTGACGTTTGGAGTGTTTTTCAATATCATAGGAATAATGCACAGATTTTAGTGTGATTGAGTGAGTGATTGTATTAGGAGATGTGATGCTAGCTATCTAATGGTTAGCCTCGGCCGACTATAGCAGTCTTGCTTATCATTATTATTCTAATTTATTTAGACTAAAAGTGAGATGAACCCTAGCACCTAGGCCTCTTTTTTTTTCTTAATGCTAGTAAGTAAGAAATATTTTATTGATGTTATATTCTCCAGGCACTTTCGTGATGTCCATATGGTTTGACGCTTAAAAACTGAGTCTTCGCATATAGGAAGAAGTTTTCGCACTCATAAAGAACTAAATAATTTTCTAATAGCAAGTTTCTTTGAGAAAGCAAAGCTTCCCCCTTTATCGGCCCATAATCGTATGTTGTTTTCTTCCGTGACGGGAATTACGTATACTAGAGACATGTTATACTTGCATCTGATATTTCTTGAGTGTCAGCCATTATGATGGTTAAGCGTAGGTTAGGACTTTTTTTCAAAATCTATTGAAATTAACCGACACTTTTCACCTTATGCGATATAAAGCAAAGTTTAAGTCTTTTGATAATCACTCTTTAATGTTTAGTTATTTTGTTGCATCTTTTATAAAAAGCGAGTGAATTATTTGTTATTTGGCAGGTGTCAACTATAATCAGGTTATACGGTATGCTTGTATAGAGCTTTATGTAAAACTCTACCGACATACGCTATGTTGCAAATACAGATGCATGCACATATATTGCTGTAACTTTGCTCTTTCTTTATAATAAACTAAATGTATAAAACAAAAACAAAAAAAAAAAATAAACATTTTCCTTTAGTTTTTACCTCGTTTTTTCATTTATTGTGTTTAAGGTTGAAAAGGTTGCCTCTGTGCTCGCTAAATATGCACATGTATGTGTTATATTATATACACATATGTATAAAAGGTTCTCTACTTTGTTTTCATTTCTCATACTTAATGGTAAAGAGTTTTCTTGTTATTTTTCTGTGGTTTTTTACTAAATAAATGCTAACATTTACACGACCACGTCTTGGTGTCAAGTTGCTTTCGTCTCTCATTGTTTGTTTCTTTTTGGGATAAAGTAACGTAAAGTTTTTGCTGTTTGTTTTCTTCTCTCTTTTCTTATGTATGCGAAATGGCCTAAAAATATTAAATTAAAAATAAGTAAAAAAGTTATATTCACTGCAGGCCGTGTTACGCACACCAGCTTAGAGATATTTCGCTATTTAGTGGGCGTGGTTTGGTGGGCTGATCGGAAACATTTTCGTATTTATTTATGTGAGAAATATTTGCCGAAAATCTTAAGTAAATATTCGCTTTAGGTAAAGAAATCCATGGGCATATCGCGCTCCTTCTGTCCAGGTGGCCTACAAGCTAATCTCTTTGGCAAAAAGTCTTCGGATAAATTGCTAAAAGGACTGACGAACAGATTGGCGTCTCTAAATCACTTCGGAAACTTACGTTGATTAAAAGCAAGTTCATGTACTATGGTGTGTTGCAAACGAAAATACAAACCTGATATAACCGCACAAAACGCACCCAAAGCGCAAGAAGTTGTATGGAGTAAAACATTAAAGAGATGGTTAATAATGAATGGTCGCAGACTAAACCATTGCTGTAGTATACTGCGCTGTATGTGTCACTAAGGGAAGTAAGGACGAAATCACAGAGTAACTGTTACAACATCATCGTCTGCGTCATCATCAAAATGTTTTGTAAGAAAGTGTTTGTAACTTCATGAGCGTTTTTTGTTGTCTTATTTTTTGCAGTGATGTGGTTTATAAAATTGTGCATATGCATGCGGGAAATTGAACTCGCTTTCATCATCAAGTACATAAATATTTATACGTAAATCTATTCTTATTTTCAGCAATGGAAAAATATTAAGTTTATCAAACGCTTATGACATACATATGTAGAAATAAACATGAAGAGGAAAATCGCTTTAGCCTGATGTATCTTTTGAACTTATGGTTAAGAGTTGAAAACTGTGCTTAAAAGCTTGCAAATTATTCTAGAACATACCTTCGGACATTATAAATTCGAAAATCAATTAGATCAATGCATGATATCTCATTTGCGAGGACCAAAATTTGTGGTTTTAACCCAATCGTATGCTGTCCATACTCTGATTGTAAGCGCTGTCGTTACATATGTAATCCCTTTAAGTGTTTGTCATCAGTACATATATCTTCTTAATCAATATTCTGCTACTTATCTTCTTTATTAAGTTGTTTGCTGTTGCAATAACCGAAATGGACCATTGCACCTTTCGTATAAATATTTTTGATATTAGTTGATGGTCGCAGATTCAATTTCAAAAAAAAAATCATGCTACAGAGGCAGAATTTAAAGAAAGAGGAAAAACAACCATGGTAACTGGCTAGGCGCGACTATTAAATGCCCTACGCCGTACTAACCCGTACAATTCTTCATTTAGTTTTGCGATAAAGTGCCAAAAATTATACTCTATGTCCATCTGAAAGTTTAAGTTTGATGGGAGCTTTTACAGAGAATTGCGATCAAACAACGGACCAGTTGCTGTGGTTAATTTTTATATTAAATTGCTGTTATTGCGTAATGTTTATCATACAATATTAAAAATTAGTCATTGTTGTCGTCGAAATACTTAGTTTTCTTAGGAACGTCCTTTTCTTAGGAACGAAGGAATTCAAACACATTGGCCCTGATCGACTTTTATCTAGATATATTGACAATTGGAATTTTTGGTCATATAGCAAAATAAGGCTTTATTTGGGGAGCGATCAGCTGATCCAAATGCATTAGTGTATCAAAGTTCGTTAAAATATCTCAAAAATTGTGTCCTTCACTGGCACATGAAAATACGTGCGCAGATATTAGAGGGACAGATGGACGGACGGACCGACAGAGAGACTCGCCTGCGCATGGACTGAAGGATAAATGGATAAATGGATAAATGGAGTAACGGACGGATAGACAGACAAACTTGAAGATGAGTTTGCTTGCTTTTTGTGGCAGAAATTTAATACATCCTTTACTTAAAATAGCATAGGCTATTAAAATCATTATTTATTTTGCATACATACATCGCACAGCGCGTACTAATGAATATGTTTGACGAAAAAATACATAAGATCAACCTTTTCTGTGGAGGCCTCTTTGTGCTCTGCAACACTTGCGGCATAATGTACTAATTAGTTATGGGTAATACCGCCGATTTTTAAGAAAAAGTGGTGGGTATAAAAGATTCGGCCGTAGCCGGTCACTTGTTTTCTTTCAATGTGGATTTCTTTTCGTAAGTACTTTTTGGTTATTATAGGGATTTCAATTAAGAGTCGTAAAGTACTTTATTGCACTATTTACAGTGTTTGGTTTTGCGGTTCATTGCAAATTTTCAAAGTTGAAAAGTTTGAGTCTCAAAGCTGAAATTTGTACTAATACTAGCATAACTTTTATCTTAACTTAAATACTAAACGAGCTGAAATGACAGGGTTCTCGGCACTGGATGGCGACACCACGTCTAACTTTAGGAAAACTTTTGAAAGCACATAACTTTGATGATTCTTTTATTCTTGATAGTTATTTGAAAAAGCTCTTAGCAAGTCCACGAAATTTCGCGTCTTTCATTGATCATTTAAATTTGAATAAAGAATTATCGCGCATACCCATAAATACTCGCAAAAGTTTTGTTGCCCATTTATGTGTGTAGCGGCTGGTGAATCACGTAGATCTTATCTGCACTTTCGTCACTTAATTGGCAAAGCATTTTTTGTTTTTCTGGCAAAACTGGCAAAGATTGTGTAAAGTAGCCTAAGGTGCTATCGTGCGCGCCTTTGAATCTTGAAAATTTCAAGTTTAACCGATAAACGATGTTAGAAATCGTTTGAAGCCTTGTTTGAGTCCGGAAAAATTTCCATTATCATGTCAATAATGGCAGAATAGAAGCAACGCGGTGTGACTATGTGACCCTATTCCTATGTGGACTAGGGTTGACTTTTATAAAAAAATCTTGATGTAACCGTCCTTACGGGCGAAATCGCATCGTCGTGACTACATTTAAAACCTTTCTCAACTATGGCTGATAAAAGATTATTCATTTGTTTGTATTTCTACGCCAAACTGATTCGACAACGGAGATCGTGAAAATGCGCAAAATCCGTAAAGTGCGTCAAGAAAATTCCGCATGAACGTAGGCAGGGGCTTGATAATTGGCAAGCAACATTACATTGTAGGGAAAGCATAACTTGCTCCGGACAAACTCGTAGTATACATTAGTAAACTATGCGATTCCCAAAATGGGGAAAGTAAAGATCGTTCAAATTGACCGACGATACAATAGCAGATCTCAAAGCCTTTGACCCAAAAAAAAGAAAAGCTGATTAGGCGACAAGCAAGGATTTTGCTCCATAACAGCATATCGGTTCT